CCTCCCGGTGTGATTCCCTCCTGAAAGAGACACAGAGACACAGACAGAGACACAGACAGAGACACAGACAGAGACACAGACAGAGACACAGACAGAGACACAGACAGAGAGAAGGAGAAGGTTCATCATCTGAACAAGGAGCCGAACGTTCTGTAGGTTAAACACGCCGTGGAGTCAAAGAACGCCACGACAACCACCGCCATGACCACGACAACCACAACCACCACCACTACGACCACCGCCACGACCACGACCACTGCCGTGACCACGACAACCACCACGACCGCCGCCACGACCATGACAACCGCGACAACCACCACGACGACTGCAACAACCACGATGACCACAACAACAACCACAACGGCTGCCAGAACCACGACGAGCACAACCACCACGACAACCACGACCATGACAACAACCACAACGACCATGACGACTGCCAGAACCACGACCATGACAACCATGACCACAACAACCACCACGACGAGCACGACAACTGCGACGACCGACGACAGCCAGAACCACAACAACCACAACGACCATGACGACCACAACCACAACAACCACCACAACGAGCACGACAACTGCCACAACTGCCACAACCACGACAACCACGACCACCGCCGCGACGAGCACAACCACCGCGACGACCGCCACAAACACGACCATGACGACCACAACAACCACCATGACGAGCACAATGACCGCGACGACCTCCACAACCACGACCGTGACGACCACAATGAGCACAACCACCGCGACCATGACAAGCGCCGTAGTGTTCAAACTGAGTCTGAAAAGTCCAAAATGTCAATTATGTCAGTGCTTTAAATTAAGATACTTGCTCTGGTGATGTCACAGTGATGTCATAATGATGTCATGGTGATGTCACAGTGATGTCATAATGATGTCATGGTGATGTCACAGTGATGTCATGATGATGTCACGGTGACGGTGTGAAACTGTTTCAGTGTAAAATTCCGTGTAAAACTAATTCTCAGCAGAGATCTGAGGCGCCGCGGCAGAAACATGGATCCAGAGTCGATCAGATCTGACTTAGTAACAAACAGGAAACGGAGCAGTGCAGCGATCTGATTGGTCAGAATTATCCTCATCAAAACCTCAAACTCCGCCCACAGATAAGAACAGCCAATAGAAAACAGCCTCTGTCCTCCTCACGCTCACGATCCGTGTTTCTGCCGCAGCGTCTCCGAGATTTACTGTGAATTTTACACTAGGAATTTTACACTCTGGTTTTTGGCTGTTGAATTTGAAGACTTGAAAATATCTGAGGTGAATATTTAAAAGGTGACATTTTTATTTTGAATTTGAAATATATTTGAAAATGTTCACTTAAAATTTCAGCAACTAAAATTCAAACAAGTTTTTTCAGAGTTAAAAAAGTGTGTGTGTGTATTATTTCTTTATTTTAACATACTATTACTTTTGTTTTCTGAAAACTATGAAAATATATCTATAAAAAAAAAAAGTTTTCAAAAATTCTAAATCTGCTGGATTTTGTTGAGTTTTAAAAGTTCTTGAGTTGACTGGAGGATCACAAATCACACAGTGACATCACATCACCAGGGGTCCGGGGTCCGGGGGTTTCGGGGGTCAGAGGTGACAGTGTGACCGGTGTGTGCACTCTGGGATCTATTTCACACCTGCCACTGTGCCCCTGAGCAAGACACTCCACCTCTGACAGAGACCAGCAACAAACCAGTATTTATGTGTCGGTTTAAAGTCACCGACTTTTACTGTTCAGTCCTGGTTTAGACCTGGTTTAATCCTGTTTTAGTCCTGGTTTAGACCTGTTTTAGACCTGGTTTAGACCTGTTTTAGTCCTGTTTTAGTCCTGGTTCAGTCCTGGTTCAGTCCTGTTTTAGACCTGTTTTAGTCCTGTTTTAGTCCTGGTTCAGTCCTGGTTCAGTCCTGGTTTAGACCTGTTTTAGTCCTGTTTTAGTCCTGTTTTAGTCCTGTTTTAGTCCTCGTTCAGTCCTGGTTCAGTCCTGGGCACATCTGGAAAAGTGTTCTGTTGAATCTGAGCCCAGAGCGGCTACTGTCTGGACCAAGACCAGAGACCAAAGACCAAAGACCAGAGACCAGAGACCAAAGACCAAAGACCAAAGAGCAGGACTAGGATGAGAGACCAGACCTGGGTTAGGACCAGAGACCAGAGACTAGACCTGGACCTGGACCTGGACCTGGACTTTAAGACCCACTTCCAGCTTTGGCCAAACCACAAGAGTAAAACGAAGCATCAGTGCGAAGAAAAGAGTAAAAGATTCACAAAGACGAGAGGAGAGAGGAGCGAGGGATGAGAGGACAGAGAGAGAGAGAAGGAGGAGGAGAGAGGAGAGGGGGATGAAGAGGAGGAGAGAGAGAGTTGGACTCCACACAAGTATCTGACATGAGCACAGTAATTTAGAGTTTGGCTTCTGTTGGATTCTTCAGAAAGAGAAAAAGAAAGAGAGAGAGAGAGAGAGGGGGGGGTGAAAGAGAGACAGAAAGAGCGAGGGATAGAGAGAGAAAGGGGACAGAGAGAGAGAGAGAGGATCAGGTCACATAAACTGAGTCCTGGTCCGGTTCTGCCTCTGGTCTGAGTCACAGATTTTTAGTCTCAAGAACTTTCAAGGATTTTCTTTTTTCTTTCTTTCTTGTCTTTCTGTCTGTGGAGGTGGAGGTTCACAAACATTTGTCACAAAGACACTTCACAGATCTTTATTCAGCTTTAGTCATTCATCCACACCTACAGTATGAACCACCTACAGTATGAACACCTACAGTATGAACCACCTACAGTATGAACCACCTACAGTATGAACCACCTACAGTATGAACACCTACAGTATGAACCACCTACAGTATGAACCACCTACAGTATGAACCACCTACAGTATGAACCACCTACAGTATGAACCACCTACAGTATGAACACCTACAGTATGAACACCTACAGTATGAACCACCTACAGTATGAACCACCTACAGTATGAACACCTACAGTGTGAACCACCTACAGTGTGAACACCTACAGTATGAACCACCTACAGTATGAACACCTACAGTATGAACACCTACAGTATGAACACCTACAGTATGAACCACCTACAGTATGAACCACCTACAGTATGAACCACCTACAGTGTGAACACCTACAGTATGAACCACCTACAGTATGAACCACCTACAGTATGAACACCTACAGTGTGAACCACCTACAGTATGAACACCTACAGTATGAACACCTACATTGTGAACCACCTACAGTATGAACACCTACAGTATGAACCACCTACAGTATGAACCACCTACAGTATGAACACCTACAGTATGAACCACCTACAGTATGAACCACCTACAGTATGAACCACTACAGTATGAACCACCTACAGTATGAACACCTACAGTATGAACCACCTACAGTATGAACACCTACAGTATTAATGAATGAATCATCACATTTATACAGCACCTTTCAAGATCTTCAAAGAGCTTCACACATTCTTCAGACACTCCAGACCCGCTGCTGTAAACTCCTACTGTAGCCACAGCCGCCCTGAGGCGCCTCCCACCACCACCGCACACACACTCCACTTTCACACTAGACAGTGTGGGTGAAGTGTCTTGCCTAAAGACACAACCACAGTTTTGTCTCTGGCTCCTCCTGTGGCTCCTGATGAGTCTCAATCAGAGTCCAGACCCAGACCCAGACCAGACCCAGACCCAGACCCAGACCCAGACCAGACCCAGACCCAGACCCCAGACCCCAGACCCAGACCCCAGACCCAGACCCAGACCAGACCCAGACCCCCAGACCCAGACCAGACAAAGACCCAGACCAGACCCAGACCAGACCCAGACCAGACAGACCCAGACCCAGACCCAGACCAGACCAGACCAGACCCAGACCCAGACCCAGACCCAGACCCAGACCCAGACCCAGACCCAGACCCAGACCCAGACCAGACCAGACCCCCAGACCCAGACCCAGACCCAGACCCAGACCCAGACCCAGACCCAGACCCAGACCCAGACCAGACCCAGACCCAGACCCAGACCAGACAAAGACCCAGACCAGACCCAGACCAGTCAGACCCAGACCCAGACCCAGACCCAGACCAGACCAGACCAGACCCAGACCCAGACCCAGACCCAGACCCAGACCCAGACCCAGACCCAGACCCAGACCAGACCAAGACCCAGACCCAGACCCAGACCCAGACCCAGACCAGAGTGTGAAAAGTCGGTCCAAGATCAGAGTTCAGTTAAACAGTTTGAGCTCAGCTCATTCACCAACAAGAACCTGTGGACCTGCGAGAAGGAACCAACACCGACCTGAAAACACCTACAGTGTGAACCACCTACAGTATGAACCACCTACAGCGTGAACCACCTACAGTATGAACCACCTACAGTGTGAACCAACTACAGTGTGAACCACCTACAGTGTGAACCACCTACAGTGTGAACCACCTACAGTGTGAACCAACTACAGTGTGAACCACCTACAGTATGAACCACCTACAGTGTGAACCACCTACACTGTGAACCAACTACAGTGTGAACCACCTACAGTGTGAACCACCTACACTGTGAACCAACTACAGTATGAACCACCTACAGTGTGAACCACCTACACTGTGAACCAACTACAGTGTGAACACCTACAGTGTGAACCACCTACAGTATGAACCACCTACAGTGTGAACCACCAACAGTATGAACCACCTACTGTATGAACCACCTACAGTGTGAACGATGAGAGTAAATGTTCCAGCTCCAGAGCAGCAGGAGCAGGAGGAGGAGGAGACTCACCGTACTGCGGGTGTGGGGCGACCGACAGGGGGATGGCTCTGTCCAGGTGCGGGTGTCGGCTCTGGGGGTGGGTGGGGAGGCTGTGGGTGCTGTGGGTGCTGTGGGTGCTGTGGGTGCTGTGGTAATATTTGGGCTTCAGGTAGAACTGACTCTGTCCTGGAACCATCTGAGCAGGACGGATC